GGGGGGGGGGGCTCCAGGGCCTCCTGGTAGAGCCCCCCTGGGCAGCACAGGACAACGGGGGGGAAGGAGGGCCTGGGCTGGGGCCACTGGTGCTGTCACCCTGCCCCGCACTGTGCGGGCCAGTCAGCCAGACGGCAGTTGGAGCTGCTGGTAAGTGCCGGGGGGGGTTGGGTTTTTTTAAACTATGAGGTGGGGGGGCAGGCATCGGGGGGATGATGGGGATGGGGCTTGGCAGGGCAGGAGAGGGTTTGGCGGGGTCAGGAGGGCTGGTGCAGGGACAGGCAAGGCAGAAAAGTGATTGGGGCCTTGGGGGAGCTGGCAGGGGGAAGAGCCAGGCAGGGAAGGGTTTGGGGGCCTCAAGGGGCTGGCGGGGAGAGCAGCTGGGCAGGGTAGGGATCAGGGACCTCGGGGGGAGGGGGGATGGCACAGTGTGGGGTCAGACAGGGCAGGGGTAGGGGGAGGCTGAGGGAGTGGGTGGGGCCAGTGGGGCCCCCCCATGGTCCCCTCCCCCCTCCAGCACCCCTTACCAGCACTGCAGCCCTAGTGCTGAGCATGTGGCCTGGCCAGCCATGTGTTTCAGCACCAGGGTGAGGGGCCAACCACAGAGACACTCTGGCAGCCAGAGCATCTCCGTGGATCACTCAGCCTCTGGTTGCCTCAGGGCATGGTCTGAGACTGTGTCCTGCTCTGCTTTTTTAAACTTCAATTTTTTTAGACCCCTGGATATCCAGGGGTCTAATTTTCTCCCCGTGCTGCAAACTTGCAGCGTGGGGAACATTTTTTCATTCCCTCATGTGTCTGTTGCCCCGCCTCAAAGGGGTTTGAGACTGGGCAAGAGGCACATGCACATTCGTCTGGACACGCCTCCTAAGTCCTACTGCCCTTGGCTACTGTCAGCTTTAACAGGCAGCCAGGAGCACATAAATATTCATTTTCTAAAATTTTTAGAGGCCCTGTGAGCTGGATAGAAGATCCTGGCCCATGGGCCATATTTTACCCGCCCCTGTGTTAAGATGTCTCTATAAATTTGTCCTTATAAATTATGTGCAAGTTAAATGGGACTGCTTGAAGGCACCCCAGAGCACCCTTTTCCCTGGATGTTTATCAGCATGTTTTTTTTACTCTTGTAATCCTGCATACAGTGGATCAACTTTCAATTTTTAACTTTAGTAGCCTTGGGCAACTGCCCACTGGTGCCATCCAGTGTTGCTGTAGTTGTGCCCTTGTCCCCTCCAGGTTCTGGTCCAGACCCCAGCAAGTCTCCCCACTACACTACTCCAGGGTTTGCAAAGATGTTTTGAGAGAACACCCTACAACTCCTTTGATAACCTTCTTTAAGGAGGGGTTTCTCTCCACCAGACTCTTTCTCAGACTCTTTTTGCTCTAGTATAATGGAGCCATAATAGCAGGAGAGGTATCTCTGCTCCAAGTATAAGGGATACTGAGTATAAGAGTGACGTGCCAACGTGGAATCTTGTTCCACATCATTAACATTTCAGTACAATTGTAGGAGTGGTTTTTTGGGGTTAAATGGTTGTTTTCTGTCCAATTTCTCTCCTTTGTCTTCCAAGATTCTCTGCTGCATTTGATTTAGGAATATATCTGACTGTCCTAATCATTTATTTTATTTGATACCTATTTGAAAGTGTTCTGGACCTTGATGGATAAATGCCAGTTGACAGGGGAGTTGGAAGGGATATATTTTTCACATTACCAGAGCATGTTTTCTAAAAGTGTATGTACCATTAAGATAACCGCATCTCAAGTTGAAAATAAAATGGCTAGCTGTCTTTCAAGTTTTTTGGCGTAGCAAATATTTCCTGTGAGTTTGACAGTATTTTCATGGATTTACTGGAGGAGATTATTCTGGAATACCAGCTTTATGAGATCAAGCAGGAAGTTGTGTCTCCCCTGAACTCTTTTAAATGGCTATCACTGTGAGTGGCTGTGTTTTAACTTCCTCAAGAGTGTAACACCATGACTGATGGATAAGAGTAGAACAGAAGGAACAAAGTGCATTGTTTTCTCTAAAGGCTCCTATAATATCCTTTTATGTGAGAGATTTATTTATTATCTATTATGCATTTTCCCCTGGATTAAATTCTGCCCATCAGGCAGGTACTGATTGCTTTCATTTATGGCGTACAGCTTGTTCTTGGTACATCTGCATGGCCAAAGTGAAATCTGATTAGCCATTGACTAGGAACAGATCACTACTTATGGTCAATACATCATTCTAACAGGACAAGGGATAACATACTCCCTGTGCTAATGTCCCAAGTTAACCCACAGTTAAATGTATTCAGAAAAAGCCTTTTGTTCTAAAAGCAGGTATGTTTAATGCTGGCTGAGCAGCAGCAGAGCATACAATATATCTGTCTATCCATTGATCCTCTCTTAAATATGATACTTGTAAAATGTTACAGAAAATAAATTTAAGAATAGAGCCCTATTTTTTAGCATTGTCAAGCTATAGAGATACTCTTTAAAATGGCAATATGTTGCTATTTCCTTTAATTATTTTCCCTATAGTCCAGCCTTCTATTCTTGGCATTATAAAGTCTTATCTGAATTACTGAAAAGAAGTCATTTTGATCTCTCCTTTCCCCTCATCTCCCTTCACTCTGAGCACTCCCATAACTTTGGAAAATTTCTCCTGATAGTCCTAAAGAAGGCAGCCTCCTTTTCCCAGACTAGCTGCTGCTCCTAGCTCAGTGATTTATTTTTTATTATTATAGTCCTCATATGGAATTTGCCATATTAAATGGACTGACCAGTAGTACATTTTGGCTGTCAAGGTTTAATTGCCAGTGTGATTGTTGAGTAGTGTATTTGTGCAAGCAAAGTAAAGGTTTATTTGTGTGGGGTTTTTTGCATGACTTGTTGTGAAAGCATACTTTTGATTTTCCTTCCTGGGTATTGTGGAGATGCAATAGAAAAGGAGAGAACACTTTTCAATCTGTCTTTAGGCAGAGAGGATCTGTGTAGGATGCTACACACCACTTAAATCCTCTGATCACACTGGACTTGCATGAGACTTAAATGATGCAAAATGCTATTGCATGGTGTAAATTTAATCTTTTCTGGAGTATCAAAAGTATTAGGTCTTTGTCATTTTTAATCCACAGACTCTCCTGAAAGTCTTTACAATTATTATCTTTTATAATTTTAAACAGTAACATAACTAGAGGTGGTGAGCGGGGCACAGGCCCCAGGCTCCAACTTAGGAGGGGCATTAGAATGGCTCCCCCACTCCCACAGAGTCTGCACTCTGACAGTAAAAGTAGTCCCATGATGTTGCTCTTTCAGCGCCAGCTGCTGGGTGTGCAAATGCACTGCACTGCTGCCATAAGAGCAATAATTGGGGAGGTCAAAAGATGCCGTAGCTGTGGTGGCGGCAGCGGCAACTGGGATGGCTTTTGAATCCCTGGTGTAAGACTCCTGTGCTTCCCCTCACCCCTGCCATACATGCGCAGAACCCATGCTTCTCAAGCAGTCAGTGGCACCACAGCTCAAAACCTGTTCATTTGGTCTCTGAGTTAAAACACATAAAAGACAAATATAGAAGACTAAGTGAATATATACATGCTTATGTAGTATATGATGCAAGTACTCATACAGTTCAAGTGATAATTTTATCAATAATCATTAACCCCAAGGGAAAAACAATATTTAACCTCTGTTAACAGCAAGTAACAGGTAACATAATATTTAGGTAGGTAGCATATAGGAGTATAAATAAAAGGAACAAAAGATAGAGCTATTCAGTTCTGTATAGGAGGCTTAGACGCATTTCAATTTATTTTAATGAAAAACAAGTACCATATTTAATTCTCCTAATTGGATGTGAACTCTCAATCAGAGGACATATTTACTGCAACCATTCTTTAATAAGATATTTCAGGGCATATAGAGAATATAGTGTCTGTCCTCCATACTAAGATGCGAGAGGAAATCATTAATAGCATGTGTACATGAAATCAATATTCATGTCTTTGATATAGTCCAAGAAGTTTTTCCAGAGTAGATGACATTTTGGAAAAATCAGCCACCTTGCATTTCAAACAGATGCTTTCTGGATTTTTTTAATGAGTATCTTGAAAAGTTCTATACAAGTGATCTTGAGAATGAATTGAGGCAGGAAAAAAGAGGGGGAAAAAACCCCATAGAGCCAGAGCATCCCTTTTTTATTACAGTTTTGGAGAGACAGATATAATTAACAGTGTAGATTTTCTTTGTCTTTGCCCGGGAGGCAGTGAACTATTTGACTGGAGTCTGGCAGTCAAAAGCTTCAAGAATCTCCCCTTTGTTTTCTGTTTGCAGATTTTATTCCTCACCGTACAGTATTGCAACAAATCGCATGATTCCACAGACATCTATCACACCATTCATTGCTGCTTCCCCTGTCTCTACATACCAGGTACGTCAGATTTCCCCTTCCCCTTAACAATTCTGGTTTGGATGTGGACAAAGGCAAAGTATGTATGGCACAAAAGTGAGTGACTTTCACACTTTAATCATGCTTTAAACCAAGGCTCTTTATTTGCATTCAGGTACCACTTAGTGTAAGGTTTCAAGCATATCCTGGATACTTTACACTGAAAAATTAAGCAACCATGTTTTTGTCTATCTTCAATCAGCTTTTCAAATGCTTAGCATTTTCATCCATTTCCAGTTGACTTGAGCAAAAAATTGTCATACTTAATAAAACATCTTGTCATTTTGGCTTCCTTTCATTGGCCAAATTTTCAAAAATGCACCTCTTTGCGATTTATTTCATGTTCATTATATTTTGAGCTTTTGCTCTGAGTTGTACTTGCCTGACTGACACCCATTAACAACATACATTTCTCTTAAGTAGTGCCCTGTAAAGCAAGATACTTTGGGGAAAACTGTTCTATTCTCCTTCAGGTTGCCATTGACGTTTCCACTTTGATGTCTTTGTTGTGGCAGGACAGTGCGGTGTTCAGACTTTTCTGATGCTGATGTCAAAATGTCATTACAGATATTTATTAATGATTAGTACTTCTGGAATGCAGTGTCACCAGCATCACTTTGAGGAGCAGGAGTCCTGAAGTTTCCCCTGACTAGAAGGTGGAACATCCTTTAGAGTAGCAAGTTTATTGCAGTATATACTTTTCGTTGTTGCCTGGCGTTACTTTCTTTAAATATTTATGGATGAGTTTAATGATCATGAAAGTGAGGGACTTATAGCTAACTTACTTTAGCCAAAAACAGTACAAGAAGCTGATATACCAGAAATATTTTGTGACCCATAGTAAGTGAAATTTAAAATCAGGTATTCTAAAATTAAAATTAAAATTTGTTCCACTCCCCACCTTTGTCGTCTTGGCTTGAAGTGTATATAAGTGTATCTCACCAGGGTCTCCTACTAAGATAGCTTTAGTAAATTCCACATGGCAGCACAAAGTACAATTTCCACAATTTCTTCAGAGACTCGTTTTAAATGAGACTTCCATAAAGATGTTTGATAATGTCACTTTTGAAAATAAGATTAATCTTCTATATCATTAGGAAGCTTTTGAAAATTTTACCTAAAGTTTTCAGCCAATTGTGCTATCTATTGGATGATGCACAACACATTCAGGGTCAGTATACCGTGATCACTATACCACTATACACTCACTATGGGATCACTATACCACTATAACAAGTGGAGCATAGATACAATGCCATTTTTCAGACTCCTGAGCATAGTGAAAACATTAGTGAATGGGTTCTGAGAGTTTCTATTGATAACAGTACAAGTCAGAAATGAATTTTGTCTCTAGTTACAATCTTCCTCTAAAAAGAAGTTCATCTTTAATTGTAGCAGTACGAAAGGCAAAGGATACCTAAAGCAAGAATGGGGCTCTGTTTCCTATTGATTTGTGCTAATAAAAGTTATTTTGATGTGCAGGTCCAGAGTACTTCATGGATGCCTCATCCGCCATATGTTATGCAACCAACAGTAAGTGGATACATGTTCACATCCAGCTAAATCTGGATTCCTACCATCCTGGATATAAAGTACGAGGTTATTGTAAGAGTAATCAACCCCCTCTGATGGGAACCATCTGTTATGCATGCAAAGATCCTGTTTCTTTAAGAAATAACATTCCTATTCCCAAAAATGAAGAATATGTTGTTTAGTTTTATTGATTATAATAAGGAAATAATAAGTCCTGTAGAATAACCTCTGAATCATTAGGTTTGGGACTGTAAAATAACTGTACTCCTTGATACTCTGAGTTGCCAGGATGAACACATCTGATATCCCTCCTCTATGTATCCATTTTAAATGTCCACACACACACACACACACACACACACGCACACACACACACACCCGTATTTTGAAGGATCCTCATTTGCAACTCTAAAATATTTCAAAAGAGGGTAGAGCACAACTGTCCTTCAGATTCTCAGAAGAATTTGGATATACTTTGACTTGATCAGTTAATTTTTTCAGTTAGTTTGTATTTTTCTGCCTTGAAATTTAGGCAATCAAATTAGGCAATACTCTCAAAACCACAATATAACTGTAGCATTATTCACTGAAAATAAGTAGTGATGTGATTTTTAGTTTGTGAGGTCAAAGTAGTTTTGACGCAGTTATTTAAATGCTAACAAAGTACCAGAAACAAGCATCACATTGAATCCATTTGCACCTATCACATTAGATTGTGGGGATTTGCTTCTTTATGTTGTACCAGATCAGCTTTACTGATATGGTTTAACTTAGTATCGCTTACTCAAGTTTTTGTATGCCATCTAACAGATTTTGATATACAGTTATCATCTTTCACCTAAATCAGTTTAAAATTAAGATGCACTGACTGCAATTTTACCATGACTATGTTTTCCTACTTATTCACAAATGTTTTAACTTTATTACTAATTTTAACTAATTATTACTTTTTAACTAATTACTAACTTTACTAATTATTACTTGACTTGTTTGTTGTCTGGCTTCTGAAATGTGATACTTTGGGAGGGAATTTCTCTTCCTGAAAAATAAAGGTAGTTGTTGTATTAGCAAGAGTTAGAGATTCAGTATCATGGTCAAAATTACAGTACTGTATATCAAAAATTGCTCATGTCATCTGTAGCTCTGGATCACAAACATGATTCTTACTCATCTCTGCTGCTCTTCTAAGCAGGCAGAAAATGGTCTTATTACGTGATCAAATGTTTGCTAGAAATTTGACTGAAACAACCAATTTTATTTCATCCTTGTCCAAATCTGGGTGCAAATCCATGTCTCCAGGAGAAAAGAGAATGCAGAATGTATAGAGATTCCCTATATCCAGACCTACAATTAAGTTCCTCATAAGGAAGCATGGCATAATAAACGGTTTATAAATAAAATTAAATCTGTATTGCAACTGTTCAGTTGTAATATTGGAGCATAAGACATTTTAAAACCTCATATATAAGGGGTGGTTGTCAGACTTCCTGAAGTGAAGAGACTCTTTACTAATCTATGAAAAGCAAATTGTCTCTTTAAAGAGCACTGACAGAAGTGACATTTGTCACACTCAGCCCTCTGAAAGCTTGCTACAGCCATGTCCTGACAGAAGTGCATGTCTGCAGAGCACTTTAAAAGTGCCCAGTCACATGACAAATTAGCCCAGTGGGTTCAGATGAAGGCACCTTCACTAACTCCTGTAAGTCTCTGCACATAAGCAGTGCTGGGCTGCATCAGCCCAGTTCTACCCCTGGTGCTGAGGAGGGAGCTCTTTGTTGCACATGGCCACTTATCTCACCACTTATTCCACATTAAATTTGGGTGGAATATAGAAGTTCCTTCATGTGGGCATGTGGGCATGTGTGCATGCATACACACACACACATACAGTCAGGTGTTTGAAAAAGTTTTGACTTATGTCAAGTCGGAGAGAATTTTTCAGGGAAAGAACTTCCAAAAATAATGTGCTTTATGAAAACCAGAATGGAGCTTTTCAGATTCTTGAGGGCCCACCTTGCTGGCTGTTGTTAGGTAGCCGAAAGGCAATTTGTTAAGAGATTTTCAGTCTTGTTGCTGAACAGCCTCCCTGTCTCAGCCCCAGCTGCAGATCTGTAGAGGCAGAGTGCTCATTTGCTGTAGTTCAGAAATGGGAAAAGGTGGGGAGGCTGATTTCCCCACTTCTTTGCTCTGCAACCATTACTTTAGTCTTGAGAAAATGCAGCTAAAGGAAGGCAAGCAGAAAATTGGGAGATTCAGTCTTGGTAGCCTTCCTGGAATGCTTTGGTCAAGTAGAGATGGAAAGTCAGAAGAGTCTTCCGTGCAGACAGCTCAGGACCTGTCATTTAAATTATCCTGATAGAATAGACCATTTTGTCAGCCAAATTGAAATATGTAGCAGTTCATATCAGAAAATCTTTCTGATGGAAAATTTCCAACCAATTCTAATTACAACAAACTACCATTTTTATTGTAAAGCAGTTAGGGTTGCTAGAGAAGCAACATACCTGATGCAACCCATAAAAGCAAAGAAATGAAAACTCACTTCAGAGGATTCATATCTTGTATCCTGGTAAAGGCTTGTTTACAGAAAGACGATTAAAAGGGGGTGGGGATAGTGGAAGGCAGGTAGCTTTAGGAAAGCTGAGTTTACCTTCTGGTGCATGGCCTACCATACAGAGTACTAGTAGATGTGATAATGATAAGGTGTCAGTTGCATGAAGGAACAGACGTTATGCAAGCAGTGGTTTTATTTTTCATTTCCCATTTATTTGTTTTTGGATGTTGTGTCAAGCACATCTTGCCTCTAGCAACTATAAGTATTCACAACACAGGACTTGTGTTGTGTGTGTACACTTCCTAAGTGGTTTTTTTAATGCTTGATCTGGGTCAGGTGTTTCTAGAGTAGGAGGTAAACCTGTATGAAAAGAAGTGCTCTGGGATATTGAAAAAATAAAGGTACTCCTACCAAGGAAAAATTCAGTGAATTATTAAAAATGTATGAAGAGGAATCAAAAAAGCACCACATAGAAAATTAAAGGGCATAAAAATTAACACCTTCTGAAATTTCATGGCAGTTGAATACCTTCTTTTAAAATAAGCAGGAATTTATGCTTCATTTTCAGTGCACTTTTGTCAAATTATGGAGGTGACCTTAAACAGGAAAATAGGTAGCATTTAGCCAAGGCAGGATTTTTCCATGAATTAGCAATGCTGCAGATATCCTAATCTTTCCCCCCCACCTTTTTAGTTTAGTTTGTACCATTGTATAAAAAGCTGCAATTTTACTTGACAGCATTGTAATGAATAATTGCTTAAGGTAAATGTATACTCTCCATAGTTGCTTAATGTCACATTAGAACCCAGTGCTGGTAAAATATTACGTTTTCCTTGCCACAGAATGTAAGAACATTTTGTTAAGACCATATTATTCTTGGTGAGTAAAGATAAACTCTTTAAAAGGCAGCACAGCTTGAATCACTTCAAGTGGTGATGGTTAATTCTTTGTTTTGATACTAAACATTCAGTAAATGATGTCACTGGATTGAATACCTTTTCATTCTTAGAAGAAAGGTCATACTTAATATTCTTTTACAATGAAATAACTTGAAGTGTCTTCATGGTAGAAAATAGAGACAGGACTCACAAATGGAAATTAGAGGAGGAAATTCTTTTAGGTTCTCAAACTCAAAAAGGATAGGAAACAGCTGTGCTACAAAATGTTGGCACCCAAGGTGCCTATTCATGTGCTCCAACGCATTCCGGTTACAACGCGTTGGAGCAAACTTGATTAATTGAGTCTGCTGGAGTGTTCAAATTAAAATGTTCCAACATGCTGCAGCATCTCATGTATTCAGCTTCCTGCATTTCAAAGGGGGCACTTTAAATAAAGCTCGTTGAACAAACTTTAGTTAAAGTGCACTCACTGCCATTTTGAAACACGAGACGCTGAATATACACGAGATGCTCCGGTGTTTAATTGGAGCAGCTTCTGAGAGACAGATTCCTGACAAACTAAGACTAAATTCTTACTTGTCTTCTCAATAAAGTTTGCATGCAAGATATACAGGCAAAATATTAATTTTCTTTTTTAATAATCATTTTTTTCGTAAAGATTATATTGGGTTCATTTCTTGTCGCCACCTTCTTTGCTGGCCATTTCTATTCACATTTCTATCGTGGACCACCCATTTATCTACCTTGCATTTAAATATTTTGATGTATTTTCAGTTACTGTCCTCGTTTATTCTTTGCTTGGTTCAGCATTTCTGAGCTCATGCAGATCCTGATCTTCACTATGTTTATGTAATTTAGGTAGACCTGTTCCTGCCATATTGCCTAAAGCCAATGTAGCTACATGTTATATTCATTATTTATTTGTAAATGAATTATTCAAATAAAAGAGCATCCCTTTAATCCACAGAATATTTTTCTCAATACACCAAAATAGATGCATCAATTTCTCCCAAATCAATTCAACTATGTAGCATCTCTACATATATTAAATGGTACATTGAATGTGTCTTCACTTTTCCAACTTCTGTGTCCTTGTCTGCCTATTTATTATGTGTGAACTCTTCAGAATCTCTTTGTTCCTTCTTGTTTCTCTGGAAAGCACTGTATGGACATGTCCACGAATAGATAAGAATCATAGCATGTGTCTATGAAAAAAGCAACAGCAAAGGGAAGATAGTCAAAGGCCTTAAAGGGCAGAGAAAAGAGAAAAGCGTTGCAATGTTGGTCTGAAAATTTGTTATACATGAATTTTGTTCCTTACAGATTTAGCTTCATAGAAATCAGCATGAAATAGGTCAAGCCAGAAGCAGATCTAAGATTTTATAAAGGCAGGTGGGGTAGTTATAGTGACTGGCACTGCAGGGGTGACTGCACTCCCTGCCCACAACCTCCTCCCTCTTCTCCTCTCCACTGAGACAGGAAGACCGTACTTTGGGCTGCTAAGTGTTGATGAAGTTAAGCATTTCCCCTCCTCCCTTCTCCTCCAT